TGTCTTAATAGCAATTCATTCATTCAGCAAACTTTTGCTGAATACGTAGTGAGTACCAGGCTGTCTTCTAGGTAATAGGGATTTAGGAATGAATGAGACTAAAGAAGGTCTTCCTCTCATGGAGCTTCCATTCTAATAAGGTAGACAGATAATAAATATGTAAACAAACAGATAATATGAGGTGGTATAAATGCTAAGAAAAAAAGCAAAGTAACTTCTCTTTTTTTCTGTTTTCCCACTGATAAAACAGCTATACACAATCAAAACACCCAGTTGACCCCAAGCAAGCTACCTAATTTCTTCATGCTTAGGTTTCCTTATTTGTAAATTATATTTACCCTGTTTACCTCACAGGGTTGTGGTATTTAAAGGGGAGAGGGGAGATGGAGGATTCATGTACAAGCCGTTTGTAAAATACGACTATGAATATACGAAGGTATTTGTACTTGTTTAAGTGGAGTCAAGGATTTGTGTATTTGGTGTATATTGTATTGTCAGTATTTGTGTCAGCATTGTTTTCTGTTTAGATCATAAAGCACTTGAGAGTGGGGCTCATGCTTTTTGAGTTGTTTATTTTAGTTTTCATGACTGATTTTTGGGAATGTCTACTAAGATGTCAATGCTTAATAGTTGGTTGCTATTGTTCTGTGATAGAGTGGAATGGATTGAGGAAAAGATTCAAGTATCAGATGTATGATTGTGCTAAATGATCTTTAAAAAACCTTCTAATCCTACCATTCCATAATTCTAAAATAAAATAGTTTGAGGAAAATTGTCCCAGCCTTAGTGGAACAAAAAGAATTTTCTTTTTGACATGAGAGTGGTTAGGTACAAAATAAAGCATTTCATAATGTGTCAGAAGTTTCAGTCTCCATGACCAACTATCTCAAATAGTATCTTTGTTATACATATATAAGAAACCATGTGGTCAACAAAAGTGGTGTTTTTAGAAGTCTTAGATATTCTTTCTTAAACACTGCTGTGCTGTACTCTAGAAAAGCAATTTGTTTGTTCCAAACTAAACCATTTGGCATTCTAGTTAAGACTGTTGCCCTGTACTAAAAACAATATTTTTCTTTTTTTCCAAAGGTACGCCAGCCTGTCATATGCATCAACAACCATGTATTTTGTTCAATTTGTATTGATTTATGGTTGAAGAATAATAGCCAGTGTCCAGCTTGCAGAGTCCCCATCACTCCTGAAAATCCCTGCAAAGAGATTATTGGTAAGGGCCTATTTTATATACACATAGAAATAGGTTTGAAACAATTTCCAAATAATGTATATTTTGGGGAAGACTGAAATAGACTATTTTCAATGATGTTATTGGCCAACATCGCAGTAGGTGGATGAGTAATTTGTATAATGTATATGTGGAACAACTGAGAGGCATGAGGCACTATGAGAGATGCTACGAGAAATAACCCTTAGCTCCTCATGGAGTCTAGTAGGGACTGTGCATGTGGACCAGAAATAAAAGCAGCAGATGCTAAGCGCCAAAAAAAATTCCCTGGGAGTTCAGACAAGAAAATTCAGCTAGGAACATTGAGAAAGGCTTCATGAAGTAGGTGGCCTTTAAGGTGAACATTTAGGATGGGTAAAATTTCAAGTGGTAAACGTCAGGGAGGGCATTTCCTTCAGGGAGAATAGCATGAACTAAGATTTAGACATATGAAAACACAGAGCAAATTTTTTATTAATAGAAATGATCAGTAGTTTAGTTTGGGTCTGATTACTATAACAAGACTAAAAAGGTAAGTTGAGACTTTAGAGAACTGTAAAGGACAACTAAATCAAGGATTTGCTCTATGGATAAGAAGAAGGGTGAAGTGGGCATGATGGTTTTGCGCAAGGGAGTGGTATGATCCAAAATGTGCTTTAGGAATATTACTCGGGTGGTAATATATTATTACATGGGTGGTAATATGTAGGTGGGACTGTAGGGTCAAGATATGATGTGAATAGGTCAAGTGAGACGATCTTGCCCAAGTAAGGGAGAGTTTGAGTCCGGATTAAGGGTAAGTAAAACATTCATTGTCACACTAATGTCAGTGAAAGGGAGGATAAAACTTGAACTGGAAGATCTTTGAAAAAGAAAACTTTTAAAGAGCCTTTTTAGTGTT